CGCCTTCTCACTTTAGCTCGCTCCCAAACGGGTGTTTGGTTGCTACCTAGAGGATACGTGGATATAAATATCCGGACATTGTGAGCTGCGATTTGAACCGTACGCACAAGAATCGCTTCTGGCCACTCCCAGGTGAATGCCAGTCAAAAGTTTTCCACTTCTGCGCACGGAACCATCCTCCTTTTTTATTGGTCTCCCCATTGCATTTTCTGGGCTTTCGGCGGACATATCTATTTATATCGCCATTTAAAGTACAAAACCGCGTATCAAGAAAATGCAAAACCTCGTAGGAGAGAGTAAAGCTAGTCCTATTTCAAAACGATTCTCTCTTTATCTAATTATCTCTTCTTCTTATATCTAAGTATCGATATTTAAGTATAAATGAATAAGGACTGATGCGAAGAGCTTCCAGTGAACAAATATCTTTTTGGCACAGAAAAGATCTGTACCGTTCATCCGTTTTTCAAAAATTAGATTTCAAATTAAAGCGCTTGGTCTGTAGATGTGCAAACTCGTTTTAGTTTTTCGAAAAGAGTTTCCACCTTTCAAAAAATATATTTAAATTATTAAAAAAAAAAACAAATCAATTTTTGCAAAATGGGTATCAATCGTAATGGTCTTGAAAAGCTTTGTGCCTTAGCTGAACTATAGAAGGGTATCCACCTGTTTAAAAAATCGTATTAGGTAAGAGAAATATGTATCAAAATATGGGTGCCAAAGGAAAGGGGTTTCACAAATTGGTAGTTTGGAAATATTTTGAAGAGGGTTGCTACTTGAAATATCAAATTTAGCTTACTCATATACAAGTTATATGAAATATCAATATATGGATTTCAAACGAAGGAGTGGTAAAAAATCTTTAGTTTGAACGCTAAAAATATTTTTGATGCTTTAGAAGAGGGTTGCCATATTTTTAAATAGTTAAGCTCAAATTATTTAATAATTTAAACGAATTACTAAAAATGGGTATCAATCGAAGGGTTTTGAAAATTTTTGTTTGTGAACTGTACTTAGCGTGGTTGCCACATGTTTAAAAATCAAATACCACTTAATTCATCAGTTATTTAAAATATGTATTGCAATGACCGGCGAAGGGTAGTTAACGAAAGGATTAAGTTAAAAATACTTCTGAAGGGGGCTGCCACCTATTAGAAAGGTTTAACTCAATTAACTAATAAAAATATTATATCAAATATAAAAATACCATAGTCAAACGAAAGAATGTAAAGAAGTTTTTAGGTTGAACATTTGGAATGTTTGAAGAGGGCTGCGACGTGTTTAAAAAGTTACATTCAAATTATTCAATAAGTTGAATGAATTACTAAAAGATAGGTATCAATCGAACCTGTATTTAAGAGGGTTTCCATTTGTTCGAAAAATCAAATTCAAATTAGTTCATCAGTTTATTAAAATACATGAATGCGTATCACAATGTTAGATGAAAGAGATTTAAGAAGATTTTAGTTTGAGAATACTTTTGAAAAATAATTTCCAAAATGAGAGGTAAAATAAAAGACCTTTGCCTGTACATAGATGTGTGATAATGTTTTATTTTTTTAATTAAGAACTGTCGTCGGTATAGGGTGATTTGAAATGTGATGGCATTAAATACATGCACTATGCGAGACCGCTCTGCACTCAGAAACGGCTGCACGGTTTTGGATGAAATATGGCACTCGAATCTCTTATGACTCGCGACTAACATTTGGAATACTTCTAAGTTTTTGAAATTCAATTTTGGGCGTTTTAACTAGTAAAATACAATTACTATGAAAAAATCATTAAATATACAATTGGGTATTTTTTATTGGAAGTCTCCTGAAGGGAAAAAGTGTTTTGTGATCGAAAAATATTGATTTTTAGGAGTTCTAAATCATATCTACGAAACGTTTTTTTATATATAAAATACACGGTAGGAAACTTTAAGCGCTTTGAGCAACCTCTAAATATTTTTTGATTTAAAAAAAAAATAGTAGCGGTGTTAAAATTCCGACTTTACTGTTTCACATGCATTTTTGGGCCATAAAAGCGTATGCCAGTATTGCCATTGGCTGTAATTGAACAGTTTCCTCTAGCTGTACAAAAACAAAAGCAACAAGAATCAATAAAACGGAGAAATTTCAAAAATCAAAAATTTTCAGCAAACTTGACATTCACCAATTTCGCCGTACCAATCGATATTTTTTACGTATTGGTATATGGTAGGGCTGGGACAATCCGCATATTCAAATATCCGGATATCCATTCGGATTATCCGTTGACACGAATAAAATCCGGATAGTATGGATATCCGGTTAATGTTCGCTTGTGTAATTATTCGGATATCCGGGTTTACGAAGATCCGGCTAATATTCGTATTTTCGGATATCCATAAAAAAATCAACAAACTGATTAATAATATTAGTTAATTCAAATATGCACACGATAGAGTGAATTAGCTCTTGACGGACTTGAAGTTGACCCTCTGTTTTGTATCGTTTTGTCACAATGTAAACGCATGGCACCACTTTTTTAAAAATGCTACAATTTGGTAAAGCATTCACCACGACCAAAAGTATCGCTTTTGTAAAAGCTTTTATTATTCCGTCCATGATATTTTAAAGCCATGAAAAAATTCTCGCGGTCAATTTTATATTTTTTTTTTATTTTTACGAAGCGATACTTTAATTTCCCAATACCAGGCGCTCATTCATATGAAGTAGCAAGTTTTCTATACACATAAATTTGTTGAAACTCAAAAGTAGAATTTTGGAAATTTAAAAATTTATAAAAACACTTTTGTGCGTAGAAACCAGGGTACGAAAATAAACTATATTGTACGTTACTATTTTATTTCGTTTATTACTTCAACAGTTCAGTACAATACGAAAACAAAATGGCTGAGTTCACTTTGGCGATAGTACACTACAGTAGTTTAGTAGTTA